TGTTCGTACAGTATAATTGCAAAAACCGTCCCTGTACTGACAGGCGCGCGCGAAAAGCACAAAATTCCTACATAAGATCTATTTTTTAGTCTATCTACAAGCAACTGTATATATTTTAGCGCGGATACATAGTTAAAATGTAGCTTTGAAGTAATAATTTTACAGTTTCTCAAAAAGACGCGAGATCAAAGGCGCGATATTTCGGTCTCATCCAATTTACGCGGAAAAACCGGAGATCGGCGTTCGGAATATCGCGGAAGAGACCACGCTCGTTGACACGTCGAGATCGCGTCACGACGCCCTCATTAAAGTGCGATCTCGTGAATAAATTCACGAAGAGAGCGTACGATCATCGAGGGCTACGATCGGATCTCTCAATGCGTACATCGTCGACCCACGCTGCCCGTATAAGGACTGCCCACACGATATCTATCGTCCAAGGTATCGATGAGCAATTACGGATTGAGAGGCTGACCTTGTGTGGTTCGACAGGAAAACCGTGTGAGAACCGGCTGAGAACGATCGTTGATCAATCGAGCCGCATCCTTCTCGACAGATTGATTTTCCACCCGTGCGAGGCATTTAATATAATATTAATTTAATTAACTTTCCAAAAACGTTATTACGATAAAAGTATGTTAACGTTTACTTTACTACGGGAAATGATTCCGGCAGGAATAAAAAATTCATTAAAAATCAACTGTTCGCCTACGAATAATCCAGCTTGGAAAGCTCACCGCAACGAGATCACCTAGAAATTTTTTTCCCACGAACAACATGACAATGTGAAATTGAGGCCATTCGCTACGTTGCGTAGGAATAGCGGCGAATAAGATCAGTGAGGTTAATCAGATCGGAAAGAAAACGATAAGGTTACCCGACGTTAACCCGCGACATTCTCACAAACGAACGACAAGATTACAGCTGATTGCTGAATTACCATTACACTCATATGTGTATCGTCTTTTCGATCTGGAAAGTAATTAATTGTATGCGAAGAGTCAAAATGTCCCCAAGAATTATCTTAAGCAGTATGGCAACCAACTCCCTTCGTAATTAAATGTATGTTAATCGACAGTTGCGTTGAAAGAATGAACGTATTTGATATTAGGATTTAAGAAAAATGTACTGGAGAAATATGTAAAAAATTACGATTATTAATTAAATACTTCCATTAAAATATTCGCAAATAATTGATAAATTCTCAATATGTATGTTTATTCTTTTTTAACTGCTTTACTAAGATTTTATGTATAACATTAGTGGGTAATGTATTTTAATACTTTGTATATGAGAGTAATAAATAAAACAAATTAAATAGTATACATTTTATTTTCAAATATAATGTATTCAAATCTCATTTTTTGTATAATTATAGAACAAGCTAATTTTTTCAGTTTTTTTTTTGTTCTCAATAATATTTCCAACGTTTTTAATTCACATCATTCCTTACATCGTGATAGATTTTCAATATAGAAATTATTTTTATAGTTTTTTTTAACTTTTATTCTATAAAAGTTCTTGCCATTTCCATTCTCGAATTATTTAAACATTGTTTTTACTTTTTATCGGAGCGTTCGGAGATTGTTTGGAATAAGGGTCGTTCAAAACGTGTGGTCCATTTGAAACGAACCAACAAAAAAGTTCCTAAATCGTGGAGAAAGTATCACTTGCGGACGACGGTGCGACGAAAAATTCAAGTGTGAGGGATCTTAATGAGATGACGAGATGCGAATGGCGGGGGATCGTTTACGATCGTCCATGATCTCGCCGTTACGTGATTGAGCAATGGCAAAGGTTTTTGACCACGCAACAACGTCCTACGTGCATCAATGCGTCATGAGACGCTGAAGTCCCCGATGATGATCCGCTAACAATGACGTGGGCGACACAAAGGCGATATCGATACATTGGAATGAAAATAATCGGCGTTATCCTGAATAGAAATAATAACGAAACGCGTATATATGCAATAGATGTTTAGAGAGAATTTTGGAACTGTTTGTTTTCTTCAATTATAATTCAGCAAATGTCATGTGATTTTTTTTTTTTACATAAACGATCGCCTGATGCATTTTTATTCTCCAATTACAATCATTATTATTAACAACATATTGTATATTATTAATTGTTTTCCAATTTATTAGTATTTGAGAACATTATAGATATAGATTTAATTTTCTGGAGATACTAAGTAAAAACAAATATTAAACGGAAAAAAACATGTAACTTATTGTGCAAGCATCTTAAAAAAATAAATTTTTTATTTCTATACAATTATAACTCATATTTAAAGATTCATAAAAGAATAGTTATTAAAGAAAAAAACTTATTAAACGATATATTCATATAAAACAATACTTCATAATTTATTTTCGTAATTTTTCTTTATAACTTTTTTTTGTTGTCGAGTATAAAAACCTCAGGTGAGATTATTCCCGGATTCATAATATCATTAATTTTTCCGATTCAAAGATATTTAATTTAAGACCGATTGTAACGATAAAGTTATGATACAAGTTAATCGTGGAGCTTTCGAACGAGATGCATGAGATGTTATCACGGTCCGAGTACACTGCATTCTAATGTCGTATAATTATGTTTCACGTAGTAACATATTTCCTATGTCATGTGTGTCATTTTTTTCTGAATGAACTTTTGAATGAAATATATATTTAAAAAAAATCTAATCTTTAAGTAAACGGTTTTTCCCCTCTCCTCTCATTTTACCTTAATTTAATTTAATCCTCACTGCGCCTCGTATGAAATTCGTACAATTAATGCCAGACGTACTTGGAATTTTATCTTTACGTGCAATGGCTTTTTGCGCGCAGGCGGGAAATTTCTTTCGACTCAGAACGCCCAAACGGTGCGCGATTAGAAAATTAACGTGTGGCGTTACGTTCGTTACGTGGCGGAGTTGCGTGAAAATCAGCACGCGATGATCGTATGGCCGAGCACGTTATAATCGTACGTGAGGAAACTCTCCACCTTCCTGATTATCAATTGCAGAGATTAATTACACGGGAGTGGCAGACAGAAAGAGGGACATATCTCCGTCATCGTCGTACACCTTGTCGATTACGTCTCGCACCGTTAACGATCGCGAATCATTATCGCGAATCATTATCGCGAATCATGTTGCGCGCGAGGGGACCGCATGCTTGTTTCGCTCGTTTTAATTATGCTCGTACGACCCAATTACGTCGCACCACGCGCTTAATTGCAATATCGACCTGGATCTCGGATCTCGTATTTTCTGCGGTTTTCTCTTCACCCAACCGGTGCTTTTTCTCGATATCGAGTTTAAATAAATTCTGCTGTTCGTATTGTATATTAGTCAAAGTAAATAAATATAAACTATGCGTTCTTATATCTTAGCATTTGTGTTTCGTTGGAAAGAATTTAATCATATCAGCATCTGCCTTCAACTTGATATATATAGAAAGAGAGAGAGAGAGATGATTCAAGCTATTTCACTCTTTCTAAACTAATAGCGACAACTTCACTAGGAATGTGCATTTATTCTTATTGTGTCTATAATTTGAACAAACTCTATTGTCTACATTCGCAGCGGTTAGATGCCTTCACCTCCTTTACGATTTTTTCCAAGAGACAAAATCATGAAGATATTTTTCAAATTGTTTCACATGACGATTACTTGAAGACTTATCTTGACTTTGTAATTTCAATACACGTGCGATACTCTGTTTCTCTTCTCTTCTCTCTCTCTCTCTCTCTCTCTCTCTCTCTCTCTTCACGGTATTTTTTAACCGTGATGTCTGATGTTTTTATGAAGGAAATATCATTTAGCCTCTTTGCCGTGTAAAGGATATAATTAAGTACATGCATTTTAAACATAATCAGCGTCAGAAATGGTTGTAACACTTTGTTCCAGGTTTATTCTCCCAGAGCAGGTAACAATAATACATATTTAAAAATTAAAAGTTTTGATATAACGCTTCCGGTTTCATTGGTGAGTTAAAGTGATTTAGTAGGCTAACGATTATCGTTATCAATTTAAACAATATTTTATCAGTGCTATCTCTTATCGGCGTGGTGTCTTAGCCGATATTTCGACGTCGATCGCACTAGACAAATAATATTGGAGGCAAAGACGTTTCTGATAGTCTTATGCTCGTTTCTCTATCAATATAGTTTAATTTTAATCTTGGCTCACCTAATTATTGTTCTAAGAATTGTAAAAGACAAAGAACCGAGATGAAAATTGATATACATTGATAGAAACGGGCATTAGTTTCCTTTTTTCGAAAAATAAATGCCTGTATTTAAAACGCGCTTATACAACGACATTAGCGTACATTTAGCATACGTTACACATGCTGTAAACGTCAGAAATAAGTGCGCATTTATCGATAAAAGCGCGTTCTGAATACGAATCATTGTTTTTCGAACGTTCGGAAAATAATATATACACCAAAAGGAAAAATGTACTTAATTTTAATAAATATTCGTTTGAATAATGCCAGTTTGAATATTCACTAAACGTATATTTATTTCGTACAAGAACCATTAATTTGATTTAACTATTATTATTTTTTATTTAGGAAACATTTTATTTTCTGTAAATAAATGTTATATTAAATTCACCGTTAAATATCAAAGAGGAGCAATTGTAACCCAATTTCTTGAGTTAAACATTTTGTTACTTCTTTTAACTTTCATATACGTCAAAATAAATCAATCCATTCTATTACTTTACTTTCAAAGTAAATGTCGTCCATATATTAACGCATTTAGTAAATAATAAACGAAATTCGAGTAAAATTGTTCAACTCCATTGTTTCAGACAAATTAACGACATAATAGAAGCAGTGGCGATCTACAGAAATAACTTGATTCAAATTCGAAGGTATAATTGTTATAATTCGGAGATAAATTGGGTAACAATTTGACATCATGAATTCAACAATGTAGTACTACATATTCAAATAATTATTTATTAAAATTTCGTGTATTTTTCGGTTTATAGAACTTACGTTTTCAGGCTCGGACGAACGCCTCTGTCGCGGCACACAGAAGAGCGGCACGCCGCTTTCCCGCTTCCTCTCCAATATAGCGGTTTCCGGTTTCCCTCTGGAGCACCAAAACGTAACCTCGACGCGCTCCGCCGACCGCGTGACTCCTCTGCCTTACTTCACCACGTTCTTTCTCTCTCTCTCTCTCTCTCTCTCTCTCTCTCTCTCTCTCTCTTTCTGTCTCGCACAAATCACCAACAATGAGCGCGCACCCAGCGATCACTCACGTTTCCGACCACTTTTCTCTATTTCCACGCTCGATTCACCGCGCGCGTCACGAACCACCTTTCTCTCTCGTTCGTTCAATCCTCTCAATCGATCGTTTCGATTCACGGTCACTCTCTAGTCGCGAACATAAACAAACGTGGCTGCTACGACATACGCCAGTGAACGTATATATACGTACGCGGGGATATTTACTTCGAGAAAGAGGCACGCGGGCAGCGATCTCTCTTCTTACCGCACCGACTTCAGGACTCCTGATTCGATCTGACTCACGTCGCGGTCGCATCCCATCCCGGCGCGGCGGATTTCTTTGTTTATCGCCGCCGCTGGGGCCCCGGCGAACTCGGGGTGTCGCACCGATCTGAAATCAGCCGCACATTCAAGTCAAATCGAACGTAATCGATCGCCTCACACACGCTCTTTCTTCCGCTCCTTCTTCCCCCTTAACGTTAACGCTGAATTTTCCGTAATCTGTTGACCGACGCGCGTTGAGATGCAGCTGATGTCGATCACTAGAAACGACCGCGAGAGAAAGATCTCGCGTCTCGCGCGAGCGACGACACTCGACAATGGCGACAGGTTGCGCTCCGCGGGATGACTGCGCTCGCTTCCGCCGGACCGGTCGTCGCTGCTCCGCCGCGCGTCCCCCACCCTCCGTCCTGCCTGCCCCCACTTCGTCCACCCCCACCATGTCGCGTGTCCGCACCATGGTGCTCCGTTGGTGCACGAGCGCTCCGAATCTTCTTAGAATATGAGAATGCGAGCGATGGTTAATACTCGTACAATGAGCCTGCTGTTTCTAGTCGCGACTTCTATCTTCGCGTTTTCGACGCGACACGTAAAGAAAGAAGGAACAAAAAATGGAAGAAAGGGAAAGAATTCGACCGTGTAATGAATCTGATGTGAATTAAATATCCGCATCTACGACTGTGCGGGATTTACTTGATGAATTTGTCGCGCGTTTTTTTTCATGCAATCACGTGATATTATATATCTGCGGATAATATAACAATTATTTGACTTTCCTTGTATTTTTCTAATATATGTACCTTTTTCTTTCATAAAATTTTAATATTAGTTAATTTAAAATACTGTATAAAAGACAGTAATTAATTACTGACTTTAAGTATGAATTTAACTTGAACGTGAGTCGAGTAATCGGATGAATGTCATACAATTGTAATAGAATTACATGACGAAATACAGTTGATAATAGAGATGAGCTGATGGATTCCTTTGACACTCATGATATTTAAATGTGATCAAATGTATGCTATTTCGACACAAATGAAACGTAATGTGCATAATGCACATAAACGAACGTAAACATTATAGATATCATTATATCTCAACTACTAATTCCATTAAACTAACATAAATTTATAGGTATTGTGAGAATCAGATACAGTTTCCACGTTCTAAAATCAAATCAAGTGCGGTTTCTATTAAATACGATTATATATATGTATATGTGGAATATAACACTTGAATATTCTGTAACAATTATTGTGACAAATTATTGACATATGAGTTGCAATATCTCATATGTGATACTACAATTTCACGTTTTACGTTTCATGTTAGATAAATCTCGAATGATTGATAATCCATATGGAATATCGAATGATTTATGAAATATCGATATCTATTAAAATATCAAGTGTTAATACGAAATGTCAAACAATTTTATAGTGCGATATTAATACGAACGATATTAATACTCTCATATTTCGTATGACATGAAGAAGGCCTCGAAAGCAAGATCATCTATCGATGCGTTGACAAGGGAAGGAGTAAAATCAACTTCAAAAGTAGAATTTTTTTCTCTTTTCAAGGAAAAGAAAAGAAGTTAAGTATTACAAAATTTCAAAACTAATCGATTTTTATCCAATGCGATACAGTTTGGATTAATGCAAACTCGAGTGCAATATTATTGTCAGCTTCATTGCCAAGGTGATAATGAAAATGCATTAATTCGAACTGTACTTATACCATCTTATATCATCTTATATCGGATAAAAGTCAAATGGTCTTGAACATTGTAACACATAATTTTTTTTCTTCGTTCCCATCTATCATCTTATTAGCGATTAATCAATACAATGACTCAACTATTTTGATATTTATTACTTATTTAAAAAAAAATTAAGAAGCATCTGAATCTAAGGTTTGAAATTTTTAACGTAAACACGAAGGATCATCTTTTGTAACAAACTTCGCTTCAAAAACGCGTTCTCACTTCTGGATCTTTCTTTATAAGCGCAAAATGCAACGTAATTACTTCAAACCGTAATCGCACTCATAGCTTGTTAACTTGTTATTTCTGACTAATCGTGATTTTCACGCAATCAAAATGAGATTCCAGAATTCTTGATCCGGTTCCTGGCAAGCGTGACTCAACGAAACGCTTGCCCATCAAGATCAGGTGCGCGCGGGAAGTTATTAAAACTGAATTAGACTGCAATCTGGCAAAAAATCGTCTGGCAACGATCGAAATCAATTTTCCCGATGCACACGCACTCGAAACTCGCGTGCAACGTTAAATGGATACGCGTTATCGAGAGCGGCGGATATTAGAGAATTTCTATGGCGACTGCGCTCGTCGAGAAGAAAAATTAGTCATCGGTGCGAGACTAGCGATTATATGAATGGCAGTATAACTTATTAGACAGTAGATTTATGACCGGTACACTTAAGTCGTGTTTTCGCTACATACACTCGTAATTGCGATTCTGTTAAGTCAGCAGCTTGTTATTAGAACAGTGTATAATTAATGGGATTCTGTCTTCTGTATAAGAGTTTCAGAATTAATTAAGAAATAAATTAATATCTTAATTTTAAAATTTCGATAGGATTAATAGAATCTTAAAATTGGAATAATATTGATATGTAATTTAGTTCTTAATTAATCATTTCTCATTAATTTTTTAACATAAAATGTAAAATTATAGAGCACTAATGATAAAGATAAAAAAGGAGAAGTCTTTTATCGAAATATTATAATTAAGAATCAATCTTTATAAAAAATATGATTTTAAGATTCTGAATTAAATAACATTTTAAAAATTAAGCTGTTATTAAAATTGAGTTATTAAAAGTTAGTGTGTAGCGATGATAAGATTAAATCTATTTTTTAGCTTATTTTTGTTCTTTCCTTATCTTCATGTTTTCCTTCGTGCAAAAACATAAGTATCATACAATTTATTAAAGATAGTATTAAAAATATTTAATTATAACATATTGAACATATTAAACATAATCCATTGTTACAAATAATTGTTTATTATGCCAAATTAATAAATTTTTTGCTCTTCATAAATTTTCTGTGAAAATATATTATTTCATAATTTAAAATAATATATAATATTAAAATCGTTACATATTAATATTGCAATAAACTTGTACAAATTGTATAAATTATTTTACCAAGTGATTTATTTTCTTCACCAATCACATTTCTATCGAACGCGCGTTTCCAAGAATCAAGACTTTTTTTCTGTTACGCATGCGGCTTATACGTGTTGCGTACGTGAATAGTAGTATGTGTGAAACCACTGTTGGGTATCTCCGCGTAAATAATAACAATCCACGTCGACGTAAAGACTTTGTAAGCTGTCTTTCTAAGCGCAATTTGTGCGAGCACAACGCTTATTTCTAATTATTGTTTCTCATCAAAACAATTAAATGTTATATATAATGATTTCCTTGTCGTTATCAGTGTACCATACATTTCGCTAACATTCTTCTGGTAGAAAAAAAGTATGGAGAGAAATTCAATCATGGAAAAATTAATAATGGATTAAGCATGATGAACAACGCCGCAAAAAGTTTTAACAATCTTAGCAATCAGTTTAAGTGTTTTTAAAACATATATACGTAATTATTTCGATGATCTAACACAAATATGTTTAAATCCATATCCAACTGAATTTTTAAATATTGTACTTTTCAGCAGATCGTCCTTTCCTTGTATTTAAAAAAGAACATTTCAAATAATCGTAAAGTTTAAAAGCTTTGATGTGGTGCATCAAGAAAACTGAAATGATTTCAAAATTAGCGTGTAAAATTGAACAGAACTCGGGGTCAGAGTTTATAGTGTCTGTCATATAGAAACCGCACGTGGCGCAAAGCGGGCCTGGCTAAGATCAGAAACAGGATCCCTCGGATAGACGTTGTATCGTCCACTTGCGAACTGCCTCTGTTCCTCATGTCACGCGGCCACCCACGCTGATTAGTCCATTATCCATTGCGGTCATCACTACCGTCAACTCATCATTCATGTTTACCGTTTCTCGGTGACAGTAGACAGTGATGGTAGATGTAAACTTTAACAACAGTATACCAAAGGCGTGACCGTGTCATATCCTTTCAGAGCGCGCAGACACTGCTAACGACACTCATTAAATCGTGCACTACATAGCAGAAGCTGCGCATCCAGGAATAAGTAGCGAAAGTGATTTAACACACATTTCCATGAATGAGAATATTAGGACTCGTCAATCGACTTATGCAATTCTCGATGGCGAAAGTAAGAAGGCGTGAATCGAATGTAAAGAGAGAGTAATAGAAGACAAAGCTTTTTAGAGGAGAAAACTGAGACAGCAAAGTGTTTCCGCCCCCGATTATACGTTTTGTTGTCTTAATTTCCTAGATCGATATTCATAGTCTTATTTTAAGACTGTCTCAAGTAATATCTTAAGATGATAATACGGCTCTCTGATTGATTCATCTTAAGACGATCTTAAATATGAGAACTATGAATATCACCCTTAGAAGTACATTTATAAGAGACGCTACTTGCAACAAGACTATAAATGAAAAGAGAACTGAAAAGGATAATGCAATAAAACAGCACGT